TATTATTATTATTATTATTATTATTATCACCTGCTTTCTGCTACAAAAACAACACAGTTCCTGCAAGAGTCTCAACTGTGTGAATATTTATCTTCAAAGTTAGTCATGGAATAGCGGTTAATGACAGCGCTGCGGAGCCATTAATCTGATGAGTCTTTCTGGGCGTTTGTGGTGACTTTGGCTTCCTGTCTGTGTCAGAGCGACGAGCTTTCCCTGCAGAAGAAGCTGCGGACCGAAGTCATCCAGCTGGAGGACACGCTGGCGCAGGTCCGCAAGGAGTACGAGATGCTGCGCATCGAGTTCGAGCAGAACCTGGCCGCCAACGAGCAAGCAGGTTCCCATCTGATCTACAGCACTATTTATTAGAACAACACTGGGAAGTTAGGTCTCATATCAGTCAATACCAATAATTATTGATTAGGGTTTTTTTTGTTCTAAGTATCTGAGCTACTTCTGGTGGCGTGTCATTTCCTGTTTTGTCCAGTTTTTCCTCCATTTTGTTTTTATTTTTTAGCCGTTTTGAGGCAAAGTGGGGGAACTGGAAACTGCTCCAGTTACTCAGCAGGCCGTTGCTAGGCAACCACAGTTGGGGGCAGGGGGGAACTTGAAACTGCTTCTTGCCCATCAGGTTGCTAGGCAACCAAAGAGGGAGAGAGTTGGTAGATAGCACAAACCTGGAATATTTCAAATGTTGAATATTCTATCAGATGTTTCTTCTGTTGATATTGATCACCTGTTTATCACAATATAAGTGATTGATTTAGTGTCCAGGCCTGAATGAAGTGATGCCATAAGAACAATAAAAGACGTAAAAAACAGAAAGTTGTGCCATAACCTCACAACAAACATCTTCACTGTGTGACATCACAGTGAAATGTTTCTCTAAACTCAGTTTATTTATTGTCAGAAGAAGCAGCCGTTTCAGTTCAATCCTCCGTCCGTTCCTGTTGATCTTAACTGGCTAACAGTGGATCAAGTTTGATAGAAACCTTTAAACTTACTTTGATTATCTAAGAAACTCCTCCTGGGCCAGCAGGGGGCGACGGAGAAGAAGACTGAGGGTTTAGGACTGAACGAAGCCTAGCTATGAAACGGTTAATCGATTAATTGCTAATAAAGGCCACTAGCTGAAAGAACAACACAGTCAGAGCAGTAATGAAGGTAAAACTGAGTCAAAATATAACAATTTTGCATTTAAGATAAAAAAACAAACGGCAAATTCACACTTTGACCTTTGAACCTTTGCTTCCTCAGGACCAATCAACCGGGAGATGCGACATCTGATCAGCAGCCTTCAGAACCACAACCTGCAGCTGAAGGGCGACGTGCAGCGCTACAAGAGGAAGCTGCGGGAGACGCAGATGGAGATCAATAAGGTAGATTGGAGCGATCGATCAGGTGCTTGAAGCGAACGCTGCCGGGCCGCGGCGCCGCCGTTAACCCGCCGTCTGTCTGGTTTCTGGGCAGCTGCGCTCGCAGAGCGGAGACGCAGGCGTTCTGATCCTGGAGGAGACGACGAGCGACGGCATGGACGTTAAAAAGGAGGAAGAAGACGACCAGGAGGAAGAGGAGGAGAGGAGGAAGGAGCTGGAGAGACAGCGGGCGAGGGAGAGAGAGAGAAAGAGAGAGAGAGGCCGAGCGAGGGCGGGAGAGGGAGAGAGAGAGAGAGAGGCAGTGCAGCGATGAGCTGAAGAGGAAAGACTCGGATACGCTGAAGATGCTCCGAGTCGAACTCAAGTAAAGTTTCTGGGTTTTTCCCATAATTCCTTCTGGTTTATGGAAAAGTTTTAATTATGAACTATATTCCTCCATGTCAGTTTAATCCAGCTCCTCCATGTCTGTTTCCATCAGGAAAGCTCAGGAGTCGCAGAAAGAGATGAAGCTGCTGTTGGACATGTACAAGTCGGCTCCGAAGGAGCAGAGAGACAAAGTGCAGCTAATGGCCGCCGAGCGCAAGTCAAAAGCAGAGGTTGGTTTCAAAACAAGCCGAATGCTAAACCAGCTGCTGCTTTTCAAGACGCGCTTTAAATGTTTGACACAAGGACAGCAGGTTTTTAATGCGTCTCAGCAGGAAGTGATGGAGATATTCAGCTTTTTAGTTTTTTATTAAAACTTTAGATCTGAATAAACCGATTAGATCTTTTTCTTTTCAGTTCATAAAACACTGATTGGTGTAGAAGTTGTTTCTTAATAAGAACACTTAGTGTTTTAAATCTTTTAAATGTATTTGTGTTTACAGGGACAATACAGCTAAACATTATCGCCAACAGGGCTGCTACCGTAATACCCAGACTATAAGGCGCTACTTTTTAACAAAATGGCTAAATAACTCAACTGTTACTAATTACACTGAATAAAATACAAATATAGTATCTATCTATCTATCTATCTATCTATCTATCTAATAAAAACAAGTGACATTTACTTCATTTCTCCTCTTTTTGGTAAAGCTAAAAAATGACAGCTGCTGCTAACAGACAGGTTTGGCTTATTTATGTTTAATTTTTTTATTTTCAGAGTTCAGGGCGTGCGGTTCATATTTAGTTGCGCTCTATAGTCTGGAAATTACGGTAACTTATTTACCGTCCTCTGTTTGGCTTTTTGGTCCAAGAAAACAAAACAATAAAGTTCTTAACAGCCGGTAATCAAAACCTCATCACAGATGTGGAACTTTATTCAACTGAAAATTTACCAAACAACCAAGTAAATTAGTGCTTGGGAACTTAATTAATGTAGGGGAAGTTAAAGCGCTAAGCAGAATATTAGCACCACTGAGCTGGAAGATGTAGATAATTTCTTCTAGACTGTGAAGCTGCGTCAGATTAATTTAACGTCTGTACATCTATAAAGTCTGAGAGCCGTTTGGCAGCATTTTGATCAGAAATGTCCCCAGAATTTTAGCCAATATTACAGTTTAAGACTAGAGCTGCACAATGCATCAGATGTCTTTATCACTGTGTGAAATGGCAGCTTGGACACTTTTCTGGGTGGATATTAAGTTTCCAGGGTCATTCATTCACCATCTGCCCCTTTTTTCCTCCCCTCAGGTGTAACTTTAAGGGCTGAGATGCCGAAGCTCAGAGCGTATTGCAGACATGGTGTAATAATAAAGAGAGAATTAATATCTTTACAATTTTCAAATATTTTTCAGCCATATTGGAGACACTTTCAAGGGAAATAGACTCATTTTTAGCTCAATTTCATCTAATTTTAGGCCAGGAGGGAGATAAATTAATGATTCTTTCTCAGTTTAGTTTCATATGCAAATATCTTTTCACACTTTAAATAAGACAAAACTAACTTACAGGTAACTTTTTTAAGTTTAAGTCAATAATTCCTTAATATTGATGAAAAATTACTAGTTTGACTGGCAGATTATTTTACTTATACAATGGGAAAAATGTCTTAGTGAAATAATCTGCCACATTGTTCCCATATTACAACTTATGAAAACGTTCTTCACTGCTCTGTTCAGTATTTTAAACACCAAAGATACTTCAAAATGCCTTTAATGCACACAGTGGAAAATGTATTAGCGCTAGCGCAGAAGCTAACATTTCTTTCACCGCAAAAGCAAAAAGTCTTACCAAGAATTTTTATCTAGGTTCTAGTGCAAATATCTTAGTACACTTGAAATAAAGTGCTGGTTTAATTGGCGCCGTTACCTAGCAACCCCAGCCAAGCCCAGACCGTTACCTAGCAACTCCAGCCAAGCCCAGACCGTTACCTAGCAACCCAGTTCTGGTTCCACTGGCAGATGATCATCTAATTTTTATCAAGACATTTTCCCCACGTTATAAGTGAAATAATCTGCCAGTGGAAATATTAATATTTCATCAATATTAAGAAATTATTGACTTAAACTCCTGTTTCTTGCTGAAAAGTTATTTGTAAGTTAGTAAGTTACAAAGTTATTTACACCCAAAACTAGACCAAAAATATTTTGTCTGTTTTGAGTTTTTTGCAGTGTTGAGCCTAAATGTGGAGCTGAGAATGAATAAATGGAGCTTATCACAGCTGTAATTTGCTGGAACTGAAGGAAACTTATTTTAATTTCTCCGTCCAGGTGGAAGACCTGAGGATGCGAGTTCGAGAGCTGGAGGAGAGGGAGAAGAAGGAGAGCAAGAAGCTGGCTGATGAAGACGCCCTGAGGAAGATCCGCGTTGCAGAGGAAACCATCGAGCATCTGCAGAAGAAACTGGCAGCCACCAAGCAGGTTTGTGTGGCTCCTTAGCTGAATGCTAACAGCGCTAATGAAACCTGAACTCTCTGAACTTGTTGGCCCTCGTTTGCTCTTAAACGTCATGTTTGAGTTTTTGCGACGGAACTAAGATGAATATTTAATGCACTGCTGTTAGATGAGTGAAACCAGAGGCGTTGGTGTTGCATTTGCCTGAAAAATAAGCTTTGCTAATGTTAGCCGTGTGAGGAGGAACCGAAACAAGGCGACATGCCCGGCCAGCTTGGCGTGTTAATCTGAACCCACGGGTTTGTTTTGAATCCTTGATGCTGGTGAAAGTCGGGGTCCTCCTTATTCTGCAGGACATTTTAAACAACTGGTGCTTCTGGTTTTGCTTCTAATTTTGCTTTAGTTTGGAGTTTTGTGTAAAACAAATAATAATAATCACAAACAGGGGATTCCCTGATCAGGATTTACTGGATTTTCTTAATATTTTCTGTCTCAGTGTTTTTGGACAACATTAAGGTCAAGAATGTCTTTAAAGGGCCAGTTATGGAAGAAAGTATAAATAATGAGCAATCTGTTAAAATATCAATAAATAGCTGTCTCTGCATTCAAAAAGAAATAATATGAGCATGTTTTCACCTTGGTCTAATTTGGCAGAATTCAGATGAAACTATTGTGATTTGATTAAGAAAATAATATTTAAGAACAAAACTTTCATATTAGAGTATTATATGTAAATAAATACACCTGGCAGGGATTTTACAGCACAATCAAGTAACTATGTTACCTTCAGTTATAAAAATCCTGTATGTATCAAATATGGCTTAAAAGAAATTTAACTTTGTAGCTCCTTGAAATTGGGCGTCTGTCTCTTTAAAACTCCTGCTCTCTCTGAAGCTCCGCCTCCAGGAAGTCATGCCATCATGGCTCCTCTATTAACCCTTTAATGTTTTTACCAGCGTCGCTCTGAGCAGCAGCTCCTATAATGAGCTCAGCAGCTGTTTGCTAATTGCTGCTGGCTAGTCTGTAGGAGCTGAGCCTGGGAGGCGGAGCTAGGTCCACCCAGGCGTTTTGCAGCTGACTGGTTGCCATGGAGATTAAAGGATTTTTCAAACAGCTTTGATTCTTTCATCCATGTTCTTGATGAGGGAATACAATTATAACATGATGGGAAGCTGAAAGAGTGGATTTTCCATAAAACTGTTCGTTCTGTATAGACGGCCACATAGAAACTTCTGGTGGGCCGGATTTGGACTGCAGGCCTCGAGTTTGACACAGATTTGTCTTCATCACACCTCATTCAACTACAGCCTTCAATAAACTCAGGCTTTGATCCAGCTGACGGATGTTTTCATGCAGCACAGTTTCTCGAGGCGCTAGGCTAACCAGCATTAGCATGTTTGTTCTGTTACGTCCTGATGACATTTCAGGCTGCAGAATGTGTTTCTTTTCTATGTCTGATACCCCTGATCTGGACCTCATGGTGACGCTTTGAACTTCCTCTCAGAATCACTTTAGGAAAGTTGCAGTAATGTTTCTGAGAATTTGAATCCTTCGCTTCAGTCAGCGACAGGAGAGAATCAGGGGGTCCAGAACAACTTAAAAAGACTGGAACAAGCCCATAAAGACGGCTGGTTCTGGTTCTGGTTCTGGTTCTGGCTCTGGTTCAGGAATCACAGGAGATGATGGAGAAAATCGCAGACAACCCTGACTGTGTCTTCAGTCAGAAGCTTCTCAAGAGTCGCTGTAACACTGACTGCTACAGGAGATCCTTCTGCCTACGGATCACCATCTAAAACTCTTTCAATAAAATGAATAGCATGAGTTTGAACAACTTTAATTTTCCCCTTGAATGTGAATCTGAAGACACCTGAGAGTGACAGGAGGGTCTTTTCTTTTTCATTAGTAGTAAAAACGTGAGCCAACCTCATAAAGCCTCAGGTGACCTCATTCTCTTAAGTTTTATAATCCTAGATTATCAGGCGCAGGAATGCATGAAGCAGTAATGAGTCCCAGGTTAAATGTTTGACGTAACCTCATCGTGTTGGCGTAGCGGATCCGCCCAACACGCTGCTATTGCCCAGCTGTTGACCTTATTGTTATCAATCCCAGAGGCTGATTAGTTAATTTGACTCACACTTTCTGCTGCCATGCGTGTGTGTGGGTGTGTGTGTGATTTTAACTCTTAGATAAAGCTGCAGCAGATGCTGAGAAGTGATTTGTCTGCAGCTCTTCATGCTTGGGAGGTGGTCCAGAACGTAATTAAAGGAATGGAGAACCGGCCCGGCCCGGCCCGATGACACACTGTTAGGTGTCGTAGGAACTTCGTAAACAATCAAACATGCAGGAAGCCAAAAGAAAAGCCACTTATGGGTTCATCTGACCTGTTTTATGGACTTTTTCTTGTGTCTCGTGTTCCTCTAAAATGACTCTTGAGTCACTGAAAAGCTCTGTGTTCCATTAATAATGCCTTAATGTGCTGAATCTTTAATTCAATCTGCTAAGTTATGATAAACATTCCAGGATGAGAGTTTAAAAGTGGAGGAAGGAAGTCCAGTTAGTTTTCCAGACCCGACACTGACGTCCATCCAGACGTTAGATTAACTTTTTAATCCTAATCTGTCCTGAAACTCTCAGAATGAAGTTCATATCTGAAGATCTCTGGGTAGAAAACGAATTAAATCTCTTTAAACATCATTTTGTAATCGGACACAGCTGCTGGATAATTTGTTTTTGTTTGTTTTGGGTAAAAAAAATAAATGGCTTTAAACTCTTAACAACATGAAATGAAGTTTATTTGTATTGCACATTTCAGCAATAAGGCAGTTCAAAGTGTTTAATGCCATAAAAACATAACGGAAACCAATTACGAAACAAGCGATACATGTAACTTCTTTTCAAATGGCATCATCGAAATCACCAACAAATACTCATCAAATATATTGATCAATGTTCCAGTGATTATAAATCAGCAGCAAACAGCTGGGACTTTAGCCTTGTTTTAAAGGAACTTTTTGCAGTTTTCAGGAAACTTGTTCCAGTTTATTATATCCAGTGTGACTAAAGAGAAACAGATAAGTTTTTCTGGGTCTGAAATGTTCCTCAGGTGATAGAAGGCCGACTTTGTAACCGTCTTTATGTGTCTCTGAAGGTTCAGGTCTGCTGGTTTCCAGCTGTAATAACTGTAGCTGTGTGCTGACTGCAGAGCGTTCCTCTTTAGGTCCTGAGATGAAAACTTCAGATTTGTTTCTGTTCATCTGGAACAGACTGAGTCTGTCTCAATAACGAACATTATGGGCGATAAATACTCCCTGGTTTACTTCACTTGGTCTTACACGCCGTTTCCTGAAGCAAAATACATACAAAAGACAAGATGCTAACCAGGTTTCTCATTCATGCTAGGCTACATGACGGTGTGGCGGTTCTCAGTCTGTTTTCTGTCAAAAACAATCTGTTAATTTTCCTGCCTTTTATAGGAAGTCATGGAGGCATCACCCCAAACTAAAACATTTTCTTTTAAAGGATTCGTTGCAGAAAGATTAACATTTTAAATACTCTGTGAAAATGAAGCTTAATTGAACGTTTAAGTTTTGCAGAGGCTTTTAGAAGCGTAAATCTAAAGGCTGCTGGCTTGTTGGAGCTCGGGTTTCATCCGTTTGCAGAGGGAGTTCACACATGTGTTTAACGTGACGGTATCACCCAGAACACACGTTAGCGCCGGCCCGGCCGAGTCCGAATTCACAGAACACTGGAGGCATTAAATCTAAAACATGCCCATGTGTTGTGTTTATGGGAAGCTGAGCTGCAGGATGAGGAAAGCATGTGTTCTCCGAACATGAAGCTTTTACTGGGTTTAGCTTTAAAAGTAATAAGATACACATGTTTAAGAAACTTTATTATACAAAAACATTTATTTAACGCAGAATCACTTTTCTGTTGTACCTTTTTAAGAGGTAGCATTTGTTTTCTCCATTCAGGGAGGATCCAGGTCATCCCATAATACCACTTTTACCTCATCCCTGGAAACAATGAAGGAAATTAATTATAAATGGGTCATGTCACACTGGAGCAGCGATTCTGTTATTTTCTGCCATGTTCCCCCAGAGATTGTAAATGTTTACGTCCCCGTCATAAAATGAGGATAAAGTCGTGAAGTTACGAGAATAAAGTCGTGAAGTTACGAGAATAAAGTCGTGACGCTACGAGAAGAAAGTCGAGAAGGTTGTGACAGTACGAGAATAGTCATTTTCAGAATAAAGTGTGTTATGACTGTAGGCTTCTTCTAATAGTCACTGAGCCTGTTGATCATTTTGCTCACTGCTGCCACCTGGTGGCCGGAGGCTTGTTTTCTGGTCTACAATAATAAAATCCTCCTGCCTCACTATCAGAGGTTTTGTCCTTGAGGGACTAAACTGGTAAATGAACTGGCTTCAATAAAATTAGAGGATCTGAATAAAACCTGAATGTGTGTGAACTGGTTTCCAGATGAGCGTTCACAGCCTTCCCATTGTTCCCGGTCAACACCATCTGCTGTGTTTCTCTTGAGGAGGAGGAGGCGCTGCTGAGCGAGATGGATGTAACGGGCCAGGCCTTCGAAGACATGCAGGAGCAGAACAGCAGGCTGCTGCAGCAGCTACGCGAGAAAGACGACGCCAACTTCAAGCTGATGAGCGAACGCATCAAATCCAACCAGATCTACAAGCTGCTGAAGGAGGAGAAGGAGGAGCTGGCGGACCAGGTCCTCACCTTCAAGACGCAGGTGAGGAGGTGAAAACAGTCTGACAGCACGGAGAAATGACGGTTCAGATCAATTCAGTACGTTTTAAATTCAGTAGATTTTTGTTTGGTGGTGGGACTGGCTTTCAACTCTGAACAGTCTTGAATTAGTATGAGATACAATCACGTTTAATTTCCTTTGGGATCAATAACGTATGTTGGAATTTGAACTGGGAGACATTTTTATATTTTCCATATCAAACCCATCACAGTTTGCATTAGTACATATAATTAATTCTATATTTAATATGCATTTATTTCCCATTTTCATTATTATCTTCATATTTTCACATTTCATGCCGCCCTGGGAAACTGCCCATGTTTCAAATCAAAAACTCACTAATTACATATTGGTAGATATAATTAATGCTATATTTAAAAATTATTCCTGTATGTACAGATTAAATAAATGTATTCTTTTATATCGCCCCATTAATGTCGCCCTGGGAAATGGCCCTTGTTTCCCATATCAAAAACCTTCACAAATTTTATATTTTTACATATAATTAATTCTATATTTAATACATTATTTTAAGTTTTAATAAATTATTTTAAGTTTTAATAAATTAATGACGCATTTAAATAATAATTTCATTTTTTTTTTTCATTTGTTGTGATTTGGCACTCCTGTGTCTCCATATAACTGCGTTTTATGGCTGTAGACGCAGCCGGATGTGTCTAATGTCTGGAGCTGCTTGCTGCAGGTGGATGCCCAGCTGCTGGTGGTGCAGAAGCTGGAGGAGAAGGAGGGAGTCCTGCAGACGACTCTGGCTGCCCTGGAGAAGGAGCTGGCGGTCCGGACTCAGGCCCTGGAGCTCAACAAGAGGAAGGCGAGAACACAACATGAAATCACCATTGAATAACTTTTAATGTGGAAATTATAAAACCTGCAGTAAACAGGATGGATCCCTTCAGCGGGGCGCTGTGTGCCACATTAGCAGCCAGGAATTTGACCATTAGCTTTTGTTTTATTGCTTCCTTGGCGCAGCAGGCGGTGGAGGCTGCGCAGCTGGCGGAGGACCTGAAGGTGCAGCTGGAACACACGCAGGCCAAGCTGAAGGAGATCCAGGTCTCTGTGGCGGAGAACCGCACCGCCCGTGAGAGGGAGAGCAGCAACCTGAAACGGGCACAGGTACGAGACGCTTCCACCTGGCGCCGCAGAATGAGGCTGCCCTGGGCAACATGGCCGACAAAACGTTTCAAATCAGTCCGTATCGATAACTACTGATCCAATTTAGTTTAAATGTCTGAATTTCACTCAGCTTACAGGGACCGATTAAGAAACCGACACAAACATTCCATTTTTAAATGCCATCAAAATCAAACATAGATCAAATATATTGATAAGTAGAGGTGTGCCGAT